TTTTATTTTTATTTTTATTTTTTTATTTTTTTTTTCTTGTGACCCGATGGTTTGGGTCACCGATAAACATGGTCGAATGTTGTCGGCTGCCTATTTGTTCAACACCAATTGACTTCTCGTCCCCAACATCCCCAACTCTTACGCCTAGGTTTTCTCGTTCATTTCTCTACTTTCTGACTCGTTGATTTTGTTGACATGGCCGGAATCAGGTTTCCTACAGAGGACTCCGACGTCTCACAGGCCGCGCGGCAGGTGGCCGCCGTCGATCTGATCTCCGACGATGACCGCTCCGTCGCTGCAGACTCTTGGTCCATCAAGAGTGACTATGGCAGCACACTTGACGACGATCAGCGTCAGGCTGACGCCGCTGAGGCCCTCTCCGCCTCGGCTAACCCTGCCCCCTCAGACTACAGGTCACCTCACTCCCTCCTCCCAATTAACGTCCTAGATTGTTGTTTACGTGATTTAGGCCTGGTTATGTGATGTATATGGAGACCTGATTGTCACTGTAAGGCGTTATTCTCTAATGTTGCAGTCTGCAAATTTCAGTATCTCGGGGGGTTAATCAGGTAGGTTTTGAAAGAATGCGGGATGCTAATTTAGGGCTATAAAATGTGGAGGAGTACGTGTTTTGATTGCACTTGGTAAAAGATAGTTACAAATTCTACTGGGTAGTAGTAGTAGTACTTTGCTTGTTTTGCTGTGGGGTACTGTTGTAGAGGATGCATTCCAGTTTTTGGAAATGGTAATAGTCAATTTTGTGGTGGGCAGTTCTGACAAAGAGGAACAGGATTCCGAGGCTGCTTCATCAATGCTGGGTTTTCAGAGTTATTGGGATGCTGCATATGCAGATGAATTGGCAAATTTCCGAGAACATGGCCATGCCGGTGAAGTTTGGTATGTCTAGAGCTGATTTTTTATAATTTACTCATTGTGTTCTTTTTCTTTTTGAAATGGAATTAGTTGCTGCCTTGAGTATATTTGTGTAAGAAACCTGTGCCGTGAAAGTTCGAATTATAGATTTCTCCTTTCTTTTCTTCTTTATTAAATTGACATTGTATTAGAATCTTGTTCCCACTTTAGAATTAGTTGATTAGTTTTCATTTTATGTATCTACTCTGTGAGTTCACCTCCATAACAGCCATTTTTAAGCTGACATAATATTAACAATTGTAACGTGTCTAGGTTAACATGCTTTTAAATTTCTTCTGCTCCATTTCAAGTACTATCCAAACTTTCATATCAAGAGAAGCAAACCTGACATAACTTTACACTCACCCAATCTAAGCCCTGAAAAGGAGATTAGTGTTACAAGCAATTGAGATGAATGAGAGAAAATTGTATAAATTGCCGCTGGACTGCTCTCCTTTTCCTTTCTTATTGCGTTTGATGCTGAATCTTATGTTAATGTCTTCCGTGTTGTAGGTTTGGTGCTGATGTGATGGAAACTGTTGCCATCTGGACCAAAAAATTATGTCTTGAAGTTTCGCACCATCACTTTCCAAACAATTCAGTTAATACCAATTGTTTGGCTTCTGGGCAGCCTGAAAAAGATTTGTCCTCATGGAGTGTTCTGGATATTGGGACTGGTAATGGGTTGCTTCTTCAGGAGCTCAGTAAGCAGGGGTAAGGATAACTTTTAGATGTTCTACTTGCAGTCTAATCCCTTGTGTTCTGTATTTAGTTTGTTAAATTTAAACTTCAGATGCCATGTTTTCACTTTGTTTTTATTTCATCTCTCCCTCTCTCTCTCTCTCGTCTTTTTCTTTTTCAATTTATGTTCTTTTCTAAGCACCAAGTTGGACATTGGCTTTTATTTTCGTTGTTTTCTTTTTCCATCATCCTCAACTGAACCGAGTGGGTTACTGTAAAACAGTAAGCGAGAGTGCATAACAATCTTTTCCGGACTGAGTAATCTTGCTTGAAGAATTTGTGAAAAATATAGAATCAATACTTCATGATGAACTGCTTTTATATTAGCCATGGTATCCAGTGCATAACGACACAGCGTTTCCGTTCGGTTTTAATGCAAATTTTGTGTTCTTAAAATGAGATTTTTACAACAAAAAGGTTTGATGATGTGTCCTGCTGGATTTTTTTAACTGTTGAAAGAAACTAATGTACTAGTAACATTGCATATTGGCGTATTAGTTTGTCCTGTCCTAGAATCTCTTCTCTGGGCATATCTAAAATAAGCTTTCTGCATGTACCTTTAAGAAAACGGGTGATCTTTGTCCTTTCAATGTCATTATTTGTTTTTCTGATGCGAGAATAATTCATAACACCTGGTGTACTGAATTTGATACAATTGCTCCATCTCTTCTGATCCAACCCTATTTTCTTTTCACAATTCTAGATTTAAACCTTAATAAATTATTTTGTTTTGTGTGAGTTTGTGCAAAAGAATTTTTAACTGGAACACATTATTTCCTTGACTGGGACTTTTACTTGAGGGTTTCTACTTTCTATTTAGTGGACATGGTCTCTCTTGTTCCCATTAGAAGTTTGATTTTCATTTACTTATTATTACCCACCTTGTCAAAATTTGCAGTTATACCTGTCTGATTTTGCTGAAGCTTACTTTTGGTATTCCTGCATTTAGGTTCTCTGATCTCACAGGAACTGATTACAGTGAAGGAGCAGTCGACTTAGCTCGAAACCTTGCTGAGCGTGATGGATTATCTAGTATTAAATTCCTTGTATGTTCTCAATCGTTAGTTTCTGTGTCTGATTCTGGCATGGGTGCACTTTAAAATTGAGGTGCTACAGATGATTACCACCGAGTTATGGATTGGCTTTGTGGTTGTACTTATGCCACTCAAGCCTAATATGAATATGGTTTTCGGGATGCAGAAGTGATTTGCCAACATATAGATTACAAGTTGAGGCATTCTTAGGACATAGTACAAAGATACTGGAAATAAATGAATTGTTAGACCACAATAGTGATAGCATGTCATGATACATATAACACTTGTCTAAAACTTTGTTTTCTTTCATATTGATGTATTTATTTTATACCACAGTCCATAATTATGTAACTATCATTGTCTTGGAGCTTTACTGTATTGGAGGAATAATTATTCCCGCTTGAGACCTCTTAACCCTTTACTATAAGGCTGATCTAAAGTATTTCTTCATATTGAACTTATATGTTATGATGGCCAATTGTTTACCTGCTTTCACTTTACTAAGTTTTTCATTTTCTTTTTTCAAGTTGACAGTTTTTTTTTTCTAAATCGGTTTTCAGGTTGATGATATTCTCGAGACAAGACTCGACCGCAAGTTTCAGCTTGTCACTGATAAGGGGACACTGGATGCAATTGGATTGCATCCTGATGGTCCTCTCAAAAGGTAATATATTATGTAATATTCTTTGGGTTCCATTGATAGTCCACATTGTTTTCTCTGCCTTTCAGTTAGAAAATAATTATTACTTGGGATACTTTTCTATTAGCATTTGTATTGCTTTTTCTGCTCTGTTGCAACTGATCAATTCATATCTCTGTTTCAGGATAATGTATTGGGATTCGGTGTCGGAGATTGTTTCCCCCGGTGGAATGTTGGTGAGCATATGTACTAATGCTTCAATTGTTGTGGCAGAAAGTTTTGATTTATATTTATTTTTATGCATTGATTGTGAGGATATGTTAATGATATGGCACTATTTATTTACGTTTCAGGTTATTACATCATGTAATAGCACTAAAGACGAGTTAATACAGGAGATGGAGGCTTTCAACCAAAGGAGGATAGCTGCCTCTCAAGGTCCGGATAGTGGCAGGGGTCCCACATTCCAATACATCGATCACGTTCGCACTTATCCCACTTTCACGTTTGGGGGATCGGTTGGATCACGTGTTGCGACTGTGGCGTTTCTAAGAAAGTGAAGTTCGTCTCATGTGTCTTTTAAATGGTTTGTTGTATTCTTGGGTGATCTTGGATTATTTTGAGCGGTCTGTTTGGTATTGGTCTAGTAAATGTGCAATCGGACTTGTATTTTCTTTTCGGAGATATTGGTCACTTATTTTGGTAACATGGCGCGGGCTGAAAACTGAACCGAGCAAATTTATGTGTATACTCGGCTAGTTCTGACTTGTTGTACCCAAAATTTGCAGGCTGTTGTACAATCCCATGGAATGCAATTTGGACTTCATTTGTTAGTACTAATTTAGTATTTACTGGGTGGATGAATTATATTGTTTGAATAAATTTAAACCTATATGGCATGATTGGTTTCTAAATTTCGTTGTATTTTTGATCCGTTTATAAATAATTGTGGACGGTTTCATTTTGAATGTTGTATTGTAAAAATAATAAATCCAAAAGGTATGGCTAATATGAAAAAGGCCCATGATTCATAACGATAAGGTGAAAATATGTGCTCTTATATTGTATTGAAATTTGGAATATGTGATGGACATTTGTACTCTTTTTTTTTTCCACAATCAACTGAAATGTATTAAAACTCAAAATAAAGAGTACATCCGGATAGTCAACTGACTACAGATACAGGCCATCTAAACAAGAAGATACCTGATATAGTCACGGCTAGTATTGTCGGCTCGACCGGTAGTATCTGATATAGCATGTCGTACTCGACCGGTTTTATGGATATATATTGAAGAATATGCCTATACATGAGCTAAGACATTCGATATGACAATATGGGCCGAGTCCAACCTAGGTCAGGCCCAACATGGATTATAAGGTACACTCCCCCTATAAAAAGGGGGAGAAGGTACTCATTTCATGATTCTCTCCTCATTCCATTACTACTCTCTCTCTACACTCTCTCCCTACTCTCTCTATGCATTCTCATATGAATCTAGTACTGACTTAAGCATCGGAGGCCCAAAGCCAGGCACCCCTCCCGGGGTCCGGGCTTTGGGTTCTTGCAGGTACGGTGGCCGTCCGAGTCGAGAGAGCCCGGGTGACATCTTTGTCCCATCATTTTAGCGCCGTATGTGGGGACCGTTCGAGAAGCCAAACGGTGTCCCATCTGAAAATTCGAATAAAGCTCCTTCGACTCGAGCAGCCGCCGCCACCGGCACCACCACCGGCCGCCACCGCCGCCGTCGGCCTCTGGCCAAAGTGACCGGATTGGCAAGATTCTTACACCATTGGATAGATCTCCTCGAGAAGAACTTCCCCTTAAAATTTCATTAAAAAATTCATCCGAGAAGGCCTTCAATTTTGCAGTCAAAGTTTCCAGATCTAGCAAAAAACTGGTCAAAATCGAACATTCAAATGCGTTTTCTCGGCGATCCATGAGGGCTATGGATAATCCGAGGGTACCACCGGAATCCTCTTGTCGAGGCGAGTTACCAGGTCTACACCTCCGCCGGGCGCCACCGCCTGCCGCCGCCGCCTCCACCGCCAGCCGCCGGTCAAAGTTTTCCGATCAGAAAATCGTTGGTACCATTATGAAGCTCTCGTCAAGCTCATTCTACCCTTGCAATTTCACGCAAAAATTCTTACCGGAGGGTCATCAATTTAGCAGTCAAAGTTTGTAGATCTAAAAACAAATTGGTCAACACCGGTTTTCTTCTCCAATTTCTCGTCAATTTTCGGCGAACCGCTTCAATCCGACGGCACCATCGGGACCGAATCGCCAAGGCGCGCGCGCGGATGGTCACTTTTGTCGGATCCGACGGCATTTAGCCGGCGACATTTCTCCGACCAAGTTGCAGTCGCTGCTTCCTCCACGCAGCTCTCTATCAGGTTGGAAACGACCCAGTGGTGAGGCCCAGGTGCGTAGCCCGCCATCCACAGCCCAAGAGGGTATTTCACGAGGCCCAAAAGAAATCTAAAAGCGGCCCAGCAGGAGTGAGCGTGGCCCAGCAGCTCGGCCCGGTATTATAGCCCACGGAAGAAGCCCTTTCAGCCCAGCAACACGCGCGCGGGCTGCATCCAGCCTGCGAAGCCCGCGCGCGTCACAGACTTTGGCCCGCGAGAAGCCCGCCCAGCCCGCGTCCTTCAGCTGCGCGTCCTAGCCCGCCTCCTCACATTTTCGGCCCGCGAGGGCCCCAGGCCAGCCCGCGCTCGGCCCAGTCCTCCTGACGCCCCTCAGCATGTCTCCTCGGCCCAACAGCGGGTTTTCCACGGCCCAAACGCCTCCTCACATTTTTGAATCTCGGCTTTCAACCTCATCGACGATTACTCGATTTTCAGTTTTCGACTTCACTGGTCTCTCAATTTTTGGTTTTCGACCTCAGTGGTCTATCAGTTCTTGGTTTTCAACCTCAACTGTCATTCGGTTCTTGGATTATGTTTTTCGACCTCAATTTGGTTCTCGACCTAGAGGTAGCATCGAGTTATTCAGTACCCAATCTCAAACACAATTTTCAGTGCTCAATCTCAAAGACAAATCTTTTGGCATTCGACCCCAGTTTCGGTTCTCGATCTCGGATGCAGATCTTTTGGGTTTCGACTCCAGAGGCGGGTAACTTGGATTTCAATCTCAATGGTCATCCGACTTCCGATGCTTGATCCCAGTGGCGGGTCACTTAACTTTCGACCTCTACGACCATTCAGTGTTCAATGTTGACTCCAGTGGCGAGTTGCTCTATTTTTCACTCTTGGATCGAGTTATGCTCACTCGACCAGAGTGGGGGGGACTAGATGATATAGCCACGGCTAGTACTGCCGGCTCGACCAGTAGTATCTGATATAGCATGTCATACTCGACCGGTTTTTATGGATATATATTGAAGAATACGCCTATACATGGGCTAAGACACTCGATATGACAATATGGGCCGAGCCCAACCTAGGCCAGGCCCAACATGGATTATACAGTACACTTATTTGTAGTATTTTTGGGTAGTTGGTAACCGAGTTACCCAGACTCGGGTCATTCTCAAAGGAAGGCTATTCGGACACGGATTCAAGCAACGATCGACTCACACAAGAAAAGAAAATAAAAATCCTAAACATTCTACTCGCATTATTTGGAGTTCGGATTAAGCTAAGGAAGCAATCTAAGCAAAAACGAAAGCAAGATTCAAACTTTATCGCAAGCAACACCTCAAATTGCAATAAAAAGGAAAATAAAGAGAAAAAGAACAAGGTACTCCTAGACCCGAGATGGAAAGAAGGTACTCATAGGTTCGGGAACATGCGATCAAACAATAGTCACTCGTGATCAATTAATTTCTCAATTAATTCTCGCTCACGCAATCAATAACAATATCACATAATCCCTAGCCTACGAGGATGATAGCATAATCGACTCATGGATGTGCATATCTTAATCCTAGAATAACTCAATAAGTAAAGACAAGCAAGACTAACGAAATCATGAACCTTAAGCGAAGTCTCCACGTCTCTAATGCATCCACGAGAAGAAATAAGCCAAAAAGTTGTAATCTTGATGGAGAAATATTACAATTAAAAATAGGGTCTTGGAGCTTTTAGAGAGAGAAAGAAAACTAGAGAGAGAAGAAAGCAAAAAACTAAAAAGGAAAATTTAGCAAATAAGGAATTCTTCTAAAATTACAAAGCAAGATGTCTATTTATAGCTACACAAAAAAGCACACACTAAAACATACATTAAATGAAGAAAACTCTCAGGATAGGTCGAACTCGCAAGCAAAAGGTGGACTTTCGCTAGCAAAATTCGAGGGCAAGGCAGCAGGAGGCTGATGAGAACCGGACTTTCGAGTGGACACGGACCGTAGTGGCGGGAGTAGTTAATATTATTTATGTTGGTTAAGTAATTAGATAGGATTATTATGTTAGTTATAGTTTAAATATTTGAATGGTTGGTTAGGATAAATTTGAATATTTGAATGTTGTTTGTATTATAAATAGGACCTTTGTATGCATATTTGGAATCAAGTTGAAAGTAATAAAAATTAAGAAAAAGGATCGTTTCCGAGTACTTTCTTCGTGGAAAACCGAGGCCGATAGTGCAGGTTTTCCACTTATTAATGTGTAAACCAAGGCCGTCAGTGCGGGTTTACACATTTTATCGTGTTCGAACCAAGACCGTTAATGCGGGTTCCTACACAAAATCGAGTCCCGATACACGATCTTCATCATTGGTGCTTTCATTGAGAGTGATTGATCGTGTATCTTTCCTATCTTTTTCAATTTTTCTTTCTTTTGAATTTTTTTTTGGTGAGATTTAGTAGAGAGTACAAAAAAATATAAAAAAAAAATAAAAAAAATCCTTTCTTCTTATGTTCGATTTGTGTGAAAAAAAAAAAAAAAAATTGAGCGTTTGAGTGTCTTTGAGTTTATGTTAGCAACAAGAAAAGAAAAAAATTATCATTGTTTGTGTGAGTGGCGTGAGTTAGAGTAGTAGGAAAAAAAATTATGTTTAGGTGTTGCGCATCATCGTCACCATGACCACCAAGTAAGGGTCAATAGGTTACAACGATCCTCCTATTTGGGACGTCTACAAACATGAGGAGAATGATTCGAAGATCATGTCCTCAAAACGTCTACAGACATGAGGAGAATGATTCGAAGATCATGTCCTTGAGGACAAGGACAAACTCGAAGGGGAAGAGAATGATGAGAATTGGACTTTCGAGTGGACACGGACTGTAGTGGCGGGAGTAGTTAATATTATTTATGTTGGTTAAGTAATTAGATAGGATTATTATGTTAGTTATAGTTTAAATATTTGAATGGTTGGTTAGGATAAATTTGAATATTTAAATGTTGTTTGTATTATAAATAGGACCTTTGTATGCATATTTGGAATCAAGTTGAAAGTAATAAAAATTAACAAAAAAGGCTCGTTTCCGAGTACTTTCTTCGTGGAAAACCGAGGCCGATAGTGCAGGTTTTCCACTTATTAATGTATAAACCAAGGCTGTCAGTGTGGGTTTACACATTTTATCGTGTTCGAACCAAGGCCGTTAGTGCGGATTCCTACACAAAATCGAGTCCTGATACACGATCTTCATCATTGATGCTTTCATTGAGATGGTCGATCGTGTATCTTTCCTATCTTTTTTGTTTTTCTTTCTTTAAAAAAAAAAAATTGAGATTGGGAATAGATTTGGCCGAGACTAGGATTTTCATTCCTTTGGGGTGTGATTTTGTGTGCAGGGATTATCATTATTTCCTTAGCTGTTTGAAGAACGTTTAATTATTGTCGGGAGATTTAGAGAGTTGTAGGAAGATTTTATTTTTTTAGAAGGGGTAGTCGAATTATTTGTTGGGAGTTTTTGTGAGTTGTGAAGGGGATTAGTAGTGAAATTTTTTATTTTTTTTTTTTTACGAGAGGGGTTTCATTGAGAGAGTATTGATCTTATATCGTCATGTTTAATCAAGAGCGGATTGAGCGATTGGAGGAGAACATATGTTCTATCCGAAAGAACGTATAGTCTATCAGAAAAAAGGTACAATCGAGGACTCGAGTCGTCGAGCGGATCGAAAGAAAGTTGCTCCAAAAGACCACCAAACGAACACGAAGAGATGAATCAGATTCGTCGTTACACAGACAAAGGTCCTCTTCAGAGTGAAAATGGGCTAGAATTTCAGAGTGAAAATGCAAATTTTCGATGATCCTTCTATGACTCAACTTTGGAATGAACGACGGTCAGCCGACGATCGATTTTGGGAGTCAAAATTTCTGTTCGAGATTCCTAAATTCGATGGGGACGTGGAAGTCGTTGAGTTTGTGAATGCGGCATCAACCGACTACGAAGGACCTCCTATTTTTTATGACGAGACCCTTAAGATTGAGGAATATGATGCTTGGCCTCAGAAACCAGGTTCTGCTACCCTTCCTTTGTTTGATGTCCAGCCTATCAAAGTGAATGAAAAAGGAGTTGAAATTGAAAAAGAGTGCAACAGTTATTTGTGTATTAAGAACTCTTGGCTGGGAGAATTTCAAAAGCTTTATGGGAATTATAAAGGATATAAAACAACATACTTTAGTGAGAAAATGTGGTCACGGCTATTTAACAAAATCAAGGCCCCGGTCATCTGCGATTTGAACCATTATGGGCGGAGGGAGGCTTGGTCTCGTCGGATCGGGGAGACGATGATGGTGACAAGTAGCTATATAGACGATGCATGGTCCATTCAAATTGCGGATCTCCACGGTGAGGAATATAAGACTGCGTGGTTACGTTGGATCGGAAAAATAATATTGGTAGAGCACGGTTGTGTAAGAGATGTTTGGTCCCGTCGAACTGGAAGAACGAGAAAGAATAAGGAGAACGTGCAAAACCGGGTTCATGAACAATTTTCGATTTTTATCCTTGTGGACAAGGATAATCATGAAGGGGTCGGGAATGATGAGAACCGAGCGAAGTCACAAGAGAAAAACGGACAAACGGAGAATTGGGCAGCCCAGGTTGTCTCGTCGTGGAGCCCGCCAAGCCGCGAAGCATCATCTCGCTCACGTCGTGAATATCCGCCACGCAGCAAGACATCTCACGAGCACCGTCACGGGCGGACAGAGGCTGAAACGGGCCTGGCTTCGCGGCTTGGCGGGCTCCACGACGTGACAACCTGGGCTGCCCAATTCTCCGTTTGTCCGTTTTCCTCTTGTGACTTCGCTCGGTTCTCATCAGAGGCACGAAACTCGCGGGTTAGGAGAGACTCGCGGGCGCGAAGTGTGGAACTCGCGGGCAGCAGGCATGGGCACTTCCGGGAACTCGCGAGATATGTCGTGTTCGCGGGATAGGAGGGCAGGTTCGCGGGCGCGGATTTTGGATTCTGCCGGCCTTGTTGCTCGCGAGTTGCAGCTATCTCGCGAAAGGAATTCCGCGGGCGCGGATTGTGGTGCACAGCAGGAAACTCGCGAGTTATGGGCATTTCGCGGCCGCGAATCCGTTTTCGCGGGCTGGAAATGGTCCCGTGACCTCTTGATGCTCGATTTGCCATAACTTCGCGCACACTTATCAGATTGACTTGAAACTTTGACCCACACTTTCCAAATCTCGTTCTCCTTGTCTTGAGATGCGCAAATTGATATCACCATGCAATTAATAATATGCCCAGAACGGCTCGGAAATGGCCCGTGTGGCTCAAACATAGTTCGGACGACTCGAAAATGTCTCGGAAATGGCTCGTCTTCCCAAGATCAAATAATG